CAATAAGGTGGAGAAACAATTGACAAAAATATCCTGAAATCACCCTTTGCCATTTGTGCATGCATAGCTAAACGCACCTATATGCACATAAGTACATACACACACACACTGCAGCAATTCCACTGCATTATCTTAGCAAATAAGGCTTTTCAAACATGTAGACCTCTCCTCCTTACCTCCAACAGTAGGAGTGATACAATACAGGACTTTCATGGAGGAGGTCTAACAACACAGGGCCCTGATGTAAATAGGCCACACACCTGGACCTGGGAGCATGCTGACCTTGAACCATGGGCAAGTCTGGAGCCTGAAGAGGTCAGAGGCCTGCAGGAGGTTGAAGGGGTAGAAGCCAATTTCGGGAGTGAGGGATGAGGAAGAAGACAGACACTAAGCTCAGTCACTCTGGCTAGTGTGGGTTTATAGCATAGTGGGAACCCCAAGACACTCTGGGGTAGGAGTACCTCTGAGATAAGGGTCAGGAGGAGAGAGAAGGCTGTTTCCCTAAGAGTGTGGCACAGGCTCACAGACTGATGGTTGCTTACAAGAGGAAGGCAGACGGTTGCTCCCCACACTGAGTACACAGTGCTGGAAGGAGGGGGGAACCAGAATCAGCCATGTGACTGCACATCTGGAGACCCAGAGGGGTGACGAGAGAGACACAGAGGTAGAAAGTGGAAGTGGGGAGGAGGCCCCAGTTGCTATCAGAGAGCTGGCTATCACACATGGTGCCACATCCCTCTTCTCTCCAGGGCCTGACGCATGATCTGACTGGTGACAGGAACATGGGGTTTCTGCTAACTTTCTGGATCCCACAACACATTTGACCACTTCCTCTGGTCTTTCTTACTTCAGTTTTCTGAGCTTCTGGCCACTGGAAAACAAGGATCCCTTGGTCAGCTACAGTGACAACAGAGCAGCTGGCTTGCCTTGGTGCCTCCTCTCAGAGCTGTCTACTCAGGAGTCTCTCCCTCAGAGTTCTGTTTTGCATTAACTTGCAAAGTCTGGTTAGAGCCCCTGGAGAACATGCATCAGATATTCAGCAATGACCTCAACCAATTGCATCAGAACTTCTGGAGCTGGAGCCCAAACACCAGTATTATTTTAAAAACTCCCTAAGTGATTTTAATGTGCAGCCAGAGTCTCCAGGACTAAATGGGGCCCGGAGCTTTGTCACTGGGAGCATAGTGTACAGGATCAAGGAGGTTAACCTATTATGAGTGGACACAGTATGATCTCAGCCGGGGCCTCAATCTGGAAAGGACAATAATGAAGCATGTTCTGAGGAGGGCAAAGGGAAGTTGGGGGATGAGGCTATTTTGCAGCACATATACTTGGTAAAGGCAGGAGGCAAAGGTCACAGACTTTCAGTCTAAGGGTTGGGGCTTGTCTACCCCATGGAGACCTAGATGTTTCCCTGCTCCAAAAAAGGCCCTGCCTCATTAGTAATGAAATACTGCCACCAGAATCATCTGGAGCTGGTAAAGCCAAATGGCAGCTTATGAGTGTCCTAGGATTTGGTGCAGGCAGAAGATTGCACTGCCTCAAGGCATCTGGATCCAAGATGTGATGAACCTTCCATCAATTATGGTCTTGAGTTTGGCATCAGAGCTCATCCTGACATACCCAGACCACAGGTCTGCATCCACAGAGCCAGTGGGTGGGCTCACATATTTGCCCAGGTTCAAGGGCCCAGAAATGTACACAGCTCCCAGGGAAATGCTAAAGAATCCAGAGGGATAAGACAAAGAGGTAGCCACAAGTCCTGGTCACTGCTGGTTGGGGCTCCATCCCTTAGTGGCACATGGATTCTCAGCACTGTTCCTGCCCTTTCTAGGATCTATTTTGCTATCGACCCTGTAATCTCTTCTTGCATGGGCCCAGCCAAAAAGGCCACTCAAACAGCTAGCAACTCCACCAGCATTCCAAATGAATTCAGAGAGCTAGGGGTGTGTCTCAATTGACAGAATGTTTGTGTAGCATGCACGGAGCCCTGGGTTCTCGTCCCATACTGTATAAAGTAATAGTGCATGCTGTAATGCCAGCGCTTGGAGGGTAGAGGCAAGATCAGAAGTTTGAGGTCATCCTTGGCTATATAGTGAACTTGAGGCCTGCTAGGATACAAAATATTCTGACCCTGCAACACTAATAAAATAGAAGGTGCCTTGAAATACCACTTGCAGAACCTCATAGTATGTAAGCCTGTATTAGTTGTGTCCAAAGCACAGGAACTGACAAGATGCTTCTAGAACAGGCACTATGAGCTACTACCTCTCCACTTACAAGGAATGAAGGAAGTCTTTGATAGAAGTTAGATACAAAATAGCATCACTGTAATGTTCAGCTACTAAGTTCAAGAAGCAGGGCTAATCCACCCAGAAAGCAGCCAGATGGTATTCCTAGGTGGGGCTGTTGCCTGCGGAAGGACATAAGGAAACTTTGTGGGGTTCCAACATTGTTCTAGATCTTGATCAAAGTAACAATGACACTTGTGTAAAAATTCATGAACCCATATACTGAGTAGTAGCAAAAGTTAGATGTGTCCAGTATCAGTGGAAAGAGTAAAGAGGCAGAAGGAAAAGACTTGAGAAATGATAAAGAAAGTCAGACAATGTTGCAGAGTAATGTTCTCGGATGTATGCCATGATTCTTATAACTACATCACCTGGAGAAAAGGCTGGAGGAAAAGCAAACCATTTGTCCGAGTGGAGAAGGACGGTGGGAGAACAGCCCGGTTCTCCACCTCTGCATTTGCATTTGCGCCTACCCGCACTCTAGCGCCCCTACCGGCTACCCAGCCTGGCTCCTGCTTCTCTAGAATCCCTTGAGGAGTTTTGGCGTCTCAGGACAACATTGGTTTCATGGTAGCAGCTTAAGATTTGGCTTCACTGACTGGGGAGATAGCCCAGTGGGTAGAGTGTCATACAACAGTAAAGACCAGAGTCCAGATCCCTAGAACCCTTGCAAAAGGTGACTTGCCTATAGTCTCCGTGGGGCAAACGTCCTAGAAAGACCAGCTGAAAAGCTGAGTCTTCTCCAGCATGACCCAGCCTCAGTATATAAGGTGGAGAGTGATGAAGGAGGATAGCCTCCACATGTGAGTGCACACAGGTGTAAACATGCATACACACCCGAGACAAGCTTTGCATCTGGAGCTCTAGAAATTGCTCAGCTCTTAATGATCCAGGGTCTCTGCTCATGGGCTCCCAGGTTCCCATTCAGTATCCACATCCTGGAACTGAACAAGGCCAGGTGCTGCTCTGGGAACAGCCCACCCCCACCCCCAGCCATCATTCAACTCTACATGCAGGCAGAACCATCTGTAACAAGCCCTCAGGAGGGACGGGGCCATAGCCACACCTCTCTGACTCTTCTTGTTCCCTCCCCATGAGTGACTGAGTGGCCAGATCCACTAATTGGTCTTCACGGGCCAGGTTACAAATGGTGCTAGGGGCGAATTCCGGTCACACCTCCAACCAGGCAAATGAACCCTTGCTCTGTCCTCTCTTTAATATGAATGTGACACCTGCAGGCTACAGCTTGTCGCACTGTGAGAATTATTTCTCCATTAAAATGCAGGAATTGGAGCTTTGCCCAGGAAGGGCAGCTAAAAATACTGCTCTCCAAGGCACTTGTCATCAGGGAACTAGGTGGCCACTTTCCTCACCCTTCAGGCTTCCAGGCCAGTCCCACACCCTCCGGGTCTCTTCTCTACACTAGATATGGTCATGTCTGATCCTCACCTCAGCCTGACAGGAAGAACAGACACCAGTCATCTCTCTTATGCAGATGGGAAAACAGGTGCAGACTGATGGCCCAGGGTCACTGCACATCCGACAAAGTCAACCATAGTGGCACTGACTGCAGGGCAGAAAAGCCTCAGCCCTCACAGCTGCCCAGCATGTTTTCTCTATCCATCTTGTCTGAGCCTTGCAACAAAGCTCTGGAACTGTTGTCCAGCCCTGGGTGGGGCCTGACGGCCAGAGAGGGGAACGGAATGCACAAGGGTCGGGGGAGACAGGGATTTTAGATTCCAAAACCCACCCAGAGCACCAAGTGTAAGGCATCATACAAGGCAAATCTTTTTGTTACTGGGATCTTCAATTTTATAACAGACCCTCTAGTTTGGGTTGTTATTGTCTCGAGGCAGGATAGCACGTAGCCCAGGCTGGTCTCAAACTCACTATGTAGGTCAGATGACCTTGAACTCTGATCTTCCTGCTTCCAACTTCTGAATGCTAAGAATATAAATGTGCACCATCATGTTCCATTTACACGGTGCTAGGATCAAGACCAGAGCTTTGTACCCGTTAGACAAGCTCTCTGTCAACTGAGCTACATCTCTGGTCCCGAATCATCCAGTTTGTAAAGTATGTCACATGCTTTTCAAACAGGACTCTTCACCCCTATTCAATAAAGAAACCAGCAGTGTTCTCAGGTATGAGGGATATGGTCATGTTAGTTGCAGAGCAAGAGTGAAAGCTCAGTCACTGGAGCTCCACTGCAGTCCAGCCTCCTGTCCACGGACTTGGGATGCTGTGACAAAGCTTAGTGCCTAAGCCATTTCCCAAGGAAACAGGACACAGGAATTTTGCATGCTCCCCTATCCTGGTACTCTGGAAATCTGTTTGTCATCCAAGTGCACTATCCTCTCAGACTTCCTAAGTGGAAGGCCTCCAGAAGTGCACCCAAAGGCCAATGTCCTGCTCAGCGTCACAAAGCCAAGCCAGGTCCCAGGCTAGTTCCCATTCCACTGGGTCAGCCAGGAACAGTGTGCACATTGATTCCTCTAGTATCTGCTTCCTCCTGCCTGTCTGCCTGTTTGGGTTTGTTTGTTTTTCTCCTCAGCTTGACAGAAGCGTGAGAAGAGGGAACCACAGTGGAGAAGATGTTTTCACGGTGAAGCAGGTACCCTACTCCAGCCTGAAACGCCCAGGACAGATTCCTTCCTTCTAGCACCAAGTCATCCCCCTGTTTCACAGACACCACAAGCAGGAAACCACTGAAAGACAAAGGCATTTATTTCTCCCCAAATATACCCAGTTTACAGAGTCCCGTGTTTACTTTTTTGTTTAGTTTTTGTTTTACCTTTTAAGATGGTTTCTCCGTGTTGCCCCAGTTGTACGGAGACTCACTCTGTAGACCAAACTAGCCTCGAACTCAGAGATCCTCCTGCCTTTGCCTCCGGAGTGCTAGGATTAAAGGTGTGCACCACCACACCTGGCCAGAGTCCATGTTTAAATTATCCTCACATGCTCTAGTACTGGGGTGGGAGAGATGCCTGCAGGGGACATCAGAAGTTCTGCTCTGCCAGCAGCCAGCGCTGTCAGAGACAAACCAGGTACAAGCCCCAGCTTCAGAATAGCACCGTGGTAAGGAGGAGCCCTTTCTTGTCCTCAGGCCCTCCAGGCCTGGCTTTGGCCTGCCCCAGGCTCCAACTGTTGAGGAGATCCCAGTATGACATAGGCTGCTGTCCCCATCCAGGTCTGCATGGCTGTGGCCACTTGCCTTCCAGTCCACATCTAGAAAGATTCTAGGAAACACCCCGTTCTCCATGTATGGTAAAGGTCTGTGCTTTCTTCAGGTTTCTTCTCCTACCCCATGCCAGGGCTAGTGTGGGCTGAGGATGAGGTATCCAGAAACTGTGGGCGCAGATGGCAAGGCCATTTCCCAGCTGGAAGGTGGGGTCAAAAAGGAAGGGACTCCACCTCGGCATCCAGCACAGTGCTGACCCCTGTGATTGCTCTACAGACTACAAATGTTAGTTTGCTAAGAAAGTAAAAGTAACAAAGAGTCCAAACATGGGAAAGCACAGGATGAAGGCTGACTCCTGAGGGGCCCTGAGAACCAGGGAAACTAGTACCTGCTTCTTGTGGGGAGAATGGGCACAGCCCAGGGCAGCCATAGGAGATCATGCAAGACAAGTCTGCACCTGTTCCAGCACGTGCAGCTGCCGGTATCAATGTACGTGTGTGTGTGTGTGTGTGTGTGTGTGTGTGTGTGTATGGGGAGTGTGCCCTGTCACACTTAGACAGGGAGGGAGACAATCAAAGCTGAGCCAAGGGTAGGGGAGTCAGGATGAGGACTTGGGAGATGCTGAAGAGATGGGATCCACACAAGTCAGAACAAAGGATGAGGAACGGTAACTAAGGTATATCAGGGCCATGGGAAAAACCAAGAGGCATCTTGCAGCTGGCTTCAGATAAATAAGGCAGGGTTCTTCTGAATAGTTATGTGCCTTGGTGAATAACAACAGTTACATGGGGCAGTTTGCATGTGTCCATAAAAAATAAGGCCGAAGGAAGTGTCACTGGAGAAACAAGGCCACTGGATGACTCTGGAGGAACACTGAGGTGGAGCGGTCTATGTGTCATGTCCATATAAGGCCGCAGGATGGTTCGTGTATCGTATCACTGGAAAAATAAGGCTGCAGGATGATGGGAGTTAAGTCCATGGGGAAATAAGGCTGTGGGTGGCCTATGTACCACTTCCTTTTAAGAATGGGTAGACCAGCGGAGCAGAACCCACTTGTTAAGGGTAGGGCTCACATTGAGGCTCAACACAGGCAGAGTATGGGACCCCCACCTGGGAAAGGCAGCAGCTCCCAGTCAGGCTATCTCTTGTCCATCATCTGCATTTCATGGTAGGATGAAAGGAAAAGGGGAAAATGCATTAGAAGCTGGAAATTCCACTCCTGGGAAAACATCTGAAGTCACATATCCAGGTGGGAGTATGCACCCCTAGACACTATCCTGTAGGCTTGAATGTGCACAGGACAGGTAGGATACGGAGTGTGTCTTCTCACACTGCTAAACTGGAGGCCAGTGTGCACACAGGAGCCAGGTGGACGAGTCACCCCACACACTCCCTCTGACTGGCCTGCTTGGTCCATCTGACTCACCCTTCAAGGCCTGGCCCAAGTCCCTCCTCTGGCCGGATGCCTCTTCCCATCCTAATGACCTGGAGAGTAATGTTCAGGGAACCTTCTCGCTCTGACTTTGCCTCCCTGTTGAAGAACATCCAAATCTGACACCCCTGGCCCTGCTCCACATCTCTGCTTGCACCAGCAGTTTAAAAGGCCTTGGACACATGTGGTCCCGCTCTTCTCCCTTCCTTTGGGTTCTGCCTGTGTCCTCGGGAAAGGAGCTGTCATATCCTGCCTCTGCAGGCATCCATCTTGGACACAGACCAGGGCCAGGCTACCTCACTGGGGAGCAGGGAAGCCCATTGCTTCACCTACGGGGCTACTCTGGAAAGCAACTCTCTTCAGACACAGCTGACCTTCTCATCAGCAGGGCTTCAGTCTTCTGAGCTCACTGCTTCCTGATGACAGGGAGGAGACCTCTCACTTTCTATGCTTCCTAATAAGCCTGCGGATGAGTAATAAAGACTGCTGTACTGACTAGCCACCTCCTATGCACCCGAAACGTGACTGCCCAGATGAAAGCTACATTTCTAGCCTCACCTGAGAAAAAGGTCACATGACTAGGTTCTGCCCAATGGGATGTATCTAAAGTGACAGGAGCTATTTTTGGCCGAGCCCTAGAAAGATGTTCCCTGCCCTCCTTCTCATCCCTTGCCTCTGGAGGGGGCATGGCAGCCACAGCAACCCCTTGGATCCAGGGACGGAAGCTTCATATTGCAGGGGACAGAATCCTGGCCCCAGGCCCCAGGCTACCTGCAGCTTTCAGACTATCAGACAGGAGAAACAGAAATGCCCAGTGCAGGTTAGCCTGTGTCAGACATCCGGAGTCCTATTGGAGCAGCTGGGGCCTGGGTGGCTCCACCCTCCACCACCTCACCAGGAGGTGAGCGGATTCTGCTGTTCTGGGGAGGAAGCACAGGTCCGTAGCAGAAGGGTGATGAAGGCTGCCATAGTCTCCAGTCTCCTACACAAACACACACACACACACACACACACACACACACACACATTTCATTTCAGGCAATACGTCTTTACCTTCGTTTTCAGAGTACTTCAGAGGCCGCAGAGCTGAAAAAAAGGAAGGAGCACGTGATAAGAGAAGAACCCTAGGGGGCAAGCAGAGGAAGAAGGAAGGGTGAGGATGCAGAAGGGGTGGGCAGGGATGGGCAGGCTGGGGGCGCCATCACCATGCCTGGGGAGGAGCCCTGGAGAGTTATCCCAAGCCTCATTCACAAGTCCCACCTCTAGCATCTCTGAATAAGTCCCATGCATCCTCCCTCTCTGAATTTCAGTTTCCTACTACTACAGAATGGGGACAAGCACCTGTCCCCGGACAAGCTGGGCATGGCAACACACAGTGCCCTGACCATAATGAGGTGAAACAAGGATCAAGGGAGGCCCAGGGTCACGTGACCTGGAGACCAACTCTCGAGCCCATCTTCTCTCCCTCCCTCCCCACCCCTGCTAACATCTGCCCCTGAGCATGAGAAATGAGGCCCGATCCCAGGCCCATCTCCATGCCGGCCATACAGGCACCAACAGGTGGAGAAGTAATTGGTGGGATTTATAGCAGTCCCCAGGCATCACTCCTGCCCGTCCTTCTATGGGGGCAGGGAGGGAGCTGGTGTCAACCAGAATAGTCCAAGATGGCTCATGGGAAACCTGCCTTCCTCAACCGCATCACTCCTGATCCTGCAGCAGTGGGGCACCAGGACCTCAGCACCCATCCTAAGACCAGATTATAGCCCCAGACCTTCTGCAAAGCACCAGCTGGCTGGCTCCTCTAGGCTCTGAAGAAAGCTTCAGAACAGTTCTCAGGTGCTTTTAGAACAGGGCCAAGATGGCATTTTACAGGTGAGACACAGAAGCGCAGAGGAGCAAAGCCTCTAAGAAGAGGACTGTCTACAGCTGTTTTACTTTATCACAATAGGGCACCACTGTGAGCTCTTAGCCAGACACCAGCCATGGTACTGTCTTCTGTATAGACTATCTCATTTAAGCCAACCCTGAAAAACCTAGAGACCTATTCTCATGCCTGTTTGTTTGTTTGCTTGCTTGTTTGTTTGTTTTACATATGGGGTAAACAGGCCAAAGGGACAGTTATTTGTTGAAAGCTCCTTTGTTTATAAGAGACTGCCTCTCTCCTGAAATGCTCCTCCCTGGGAAGCTCTCAGTTAGTACAGTCCTGATGGATGGGTTAGGGTGGGCAGGAGATTCCTATGGAAGTCCAGTGTTCTGCCTCTAGACCCTCCCTGGGTTGGTGGCTCCGTCAGAACCTGAAGTCCTGTCTCCTGCCCCTGATGCCTCCCCAGTTAGCAGGGCCAGACTCACCTGTCTTGGATTCTTCTCCATCCCCATCCTGGTCCTCAGCACCTGGAAGGGTGAATAACAAACTTACTCAGTGCTTTCATGCCCACACTTCCACACCTGGTGACTGAGCAAATTTGACTTCTGGTCTGAATGCTGAATTCAGGGTTGGAGCTTGAGACCAGAGCAGAGCTGAACCTGGGACATAATGGAAGGCCCAGCAGGAAGCCCAGCACTTATCTGGCCAGGGACTACTTATCTAACTTTCTACCCAGCCTATCAGCACTTCACACACACACTCACTCGCAACTGACTTCTGCACCCCACTTCTTTTATTTTTATGTGTGTGCCTATAATGTGTGTGTGGTGTATGTGTGTGTGTATGTGTGTGTGGTGTGTGTGGTGTGTATGGTGTGGGTGTGTGCATGTGTGTGTATAGCATGGGTATGTGCATGTGTGTGTGCATGGTGTGTATATGTGCATGTATGTGTTTATGGTGTGAGTATGTAGATGTCTGTGTATGGTGTGGGTATGTACATGCGTGTTTATGGTATGGTTATGTGAATGTGTGTATATGGTGTAGGTATGTGGATGTGTGTATATGGTGTGGGTATATGCATGTGTGTGTATGGTGTGGGTGTGTGCATGTGTGTGTAGTATGGGTATGTGCACATGTGTGTATGGTGTGGGTGTGTGCATGTGGGTGTGTAGTATGGGTATGTGCACACGTGTGTATGGTGTGGGTGTGTGCATGTGTGTGTAGTATGGGTATGTGCACATGTGTGTATGGTGTGGGTGTGTGCATGTGGGTGTGTAGTATGGGTATGTGCACACGTGTGTATGGTGTGGATGTGTGCATGTGTGTGTATGGTATGAGTATATGCACATGTGTGTATGGTGTGGGTGTGTGCATGTGGTGTGTGTATGGTATGGGTATATGCACACGTGTGTATGGTGTGGGTGTGTGCATGTGGGTGTGTAGTATGGGTATGTGCACACGTGTGTATGGTGTGGGTGTGTGCATGTGGGTGTGTAGTATGGGTATGTGCACACATGTGTATGGTGTGGGTGTGTGCATGTGTGTGTGCATACACATGAAAGTCAGAGTTATCCTCCTCAATCTTTCCCCACCTTATTTTTGAGACAGGGTTCCTCACTGAACATGGAGCTCACTGATTCAGCTGGACTGGCTGCCTAGTGAATGTCAGGGATTCCTCCGTCCCTCTAACCCTGTGTTACAAAAGCAAGCTGCCATGCCAGGTTTCTGTGGGTGCTGGGGACCCAGACTCTAGTCCTCATGCTTGCACAGCGGGCACTTTCCTGACAGTCACCTCCCCAGTCCCTCTGTACTGCACTTCTGTCTGTCCACCCGCCCTCTACCAGCCACCCACAGCCCACTTAGCCATCTAAGCACAAGCATCCCTAACCCACAGTTGATCAAACTCCCCTCACTTCTTCCTCATACCCAGTCACCTTCCGGCCGCTACTGCCTGTCTGCTCTCATACCTCTGTCTACTCGTGTGCCGCCCACCAATGTCCACTCAGCCATCTACAATCACCAATTCCAGTTCACAATCCCCCTCACCCAGCAGAGAGTAGCATCATGAGGTTCTGCACACTCCACACTCTGCGGAAGACACATACGACAAACAGACTAAATGTTCACTAGGCTCTAACCTTTGTCTCTCTCACAGACATACTCACAAGACTCACACATTCAGTTTCACCTTGTTTCCACAGACACACTCATCCCTCGTCACACCGCAACTTTACGCACCACCACCTTCATGACCCATTACTCTTGTTTACAGCCATGTGCTATGCTCATTTTATACAGATTCACAGAGGACAACCAGCCACGAGGTCTCAGGCTAGGGCCTTTGTGTACCCCTTCCCATTCATACCATCACAGACATGGCAACTAGTATGTTTGAATGTCTGTTCCCTCCTAAAGGACACTGACATTAGCTGTCATCAAATAGTACCAAGGGGTGGGACTTCTGGGCCAGAGAGGTGGCTCAGTAGTTAAGAGCATTGTCTGCTCTTGCAGAGAACAAGATTTTGTTCTTAGCACCCGCATGGCAGCTACCAATCAATAATCTATAACCTCGCCGGGCAGTGGTGGTGCATGCCTTTAATCCCAGCACTCGGGAGGCAGAGACAGGCAGATCTCTGTGAGTTCAAGGCCAGTATATAGAGGAGTACCAGGACAGGCTCCAAAGCTACACTGAGAAAACCTGTCTCTAAAAACCAAAATAAGCCAGGCGTTGGTGGCACATGCCTTTAATCCCAGCACTCGGGAGGCAGAGGCAGGCGGATCTCTGTGAGTTTGAGGCCGGGCTGGACCGACAGCCTCCAAAACAATACAGAGAAACCCTGTCTCGTAAAACCAAAATAAATAAATAATAATAATAATAATCTATAACCTCAGTTTCAGGCATATATGCAGGCAAAAATGCCCATACACAAAAACTTTACATCTTAGTTTTAAATTACTTTTTTTAAAGAGGTGACGTTTCTAAGGGATGGTTAGGCTCTGACAGCTCTGCCCTGCACTGGCACTGTGACCTTTGCCCTCTCACTTTCCACCATCTAAAGATCAGCAAGGCCTCACCAGATGCCAGTGCCCAGATACGCTATTGACTTATTTACTTTGTGCCTGTCTGAATGTGTGGTATTTGTGCATGCCTGTTTCATGTGTGTGGTGTGTGGGCGCACATGTGGGCACACATGTATGTGGAGGCCCAAGGCTGATATCAGGAGTCTTCCTTGATCATTCTCCATGTTATTAGGGCAGGGTCTCTCAATCCAGATCTCACTGATATAGCTAGTCTAGCTGATCAGTTTGATCCTGAGAAGCCCTATCTCCTCCTAAGAGCTGGGATTACAGACAAGCTGCCATGCCCACTAGACATTTATATGGGTGCTAGGGCTCCAAATTCCAGCCTTCATTCATCTATGACAAATGATTTCTCTGTTCTCCCTGCTGCCTGGATATGGTACTCCCAGCTTGAGAAACACAATCCAGTACATTTCTGTTCTTTACTCCATCCTGTCTTGGGTGTTCTCTTACAGCTGCACCCAATCAACTAAAACAGTGACATGCTCCCCAAGACATGTGTGCAGGAGCATGCACACACTCACGCACCTTCATTCTCCTCCTCACAGCTCTGCTTGATCTTCCTCCAGCACACGAAGGCCAGGGCCACCAGCAGTACCACAAGACAGACAGAGAGCCCCACGGTCACCCACAGAGCCTCAGGGGGGGAATGTCACAGGCTGCCCTGAAAGAAGACAGAAGAGTGAGGCCATCTGGTCCTGAGGTGTGAACCGGGCCTCCTCGTCTCACTGTGCTGATGAAGCTCACTCAGGCTCCCTCGGCCATAGTGCTATTTATCCTACCAAACCTTGCCACTGTGGCTGTGGGTGACGGAAGCATGCCTCAGAAAGGGGGCAGGTAGAGCCGGGCGGTGGTGGCCCACGCCTTTAATCCCAGCACTTGGGAGGCAGAGGCAGGCAGATCTCTGTGAGTTCGAGGCCGGGCTGGACCGATAGCCTCCAAAACAATACAGAGAAACCCTGTCTCGTAAAAACCAAAAAAAAAAAAAAAAAAAAGAAAGGGGGCAGGTAGAGCTAAGAGTCCTGAGGATGACTAACAACCATGGATAGGGCCCCACTGACCGAGGGTAGTCTGTCTTCTAAGACTCGTTCAAGGGACTCTAAGCAGACCTGGCTTCCAGTCACCCCACTTTTCTGTCTAAAGTCACCCCAGGAAGCTCCATGTCATCCATTCTCTACAGAGACACTGACTCCTTTCAGCCTCTGCCTAGTCCCTGTCATCTTCCCTTCCCAGCGGGGCTCCAAATTCTCCGCCCGGCCTTCAAGCCACTCCTTCAGAGGCCTCCCCGATGGCTGCAGCCCCGCCTGCTTTCATGGTCCTCAGGGTCAGACACTAGCCAGCTCCAGCACATGAGCCAGACTGTGGCCTGTCTTTGACAATCCATGGGCTAGTATCAGCTTTTACTTTTGTAAAGAGCTACGAAAAGCAAGGAGAAAGAAAAGCTACCTCGCTCTGGAGATGTAACTTGGCAGATTGCTTGCCTAGAATACATGAAGCCTGGGGTTCAGTTCCCAGTAAGATATGAACTGGGCGTGGTTTCCCAGGCGACCTGTGATCCCAGAACTAAGGAGGCAGAGATGGGAGAATAAGAAACTCAAGGTCATCCTCATTACATATTGAGTTCAAGGTCAACTGAGACAATGAGATCCTGCCATTAATAGACAGACTAATAAACAAATAGAATCGGCAGCGGAAGGACAGCACACAGCCCACAAAGTGTGCATTCTCTGTCTCTTTACAGAAAGTGTGCCTCATTCTAAACACAGAGGAGGGCTTGGAGTGAAAGTCTACGTCACTCAAGGATCTGTGCAGATCTGGGGGAGCCTCACCAAGGCAGTATCTGCGTGCAGCCCTGAGGCCGCCCATTACAATACCCCGTGTCAAGAAAAGGAGTGGAGGCTGAGGAGATTGAGGCAGGGTTGAGGCCAGCAGCTGTTCTGAGCACATCCCCACACGACTCCAGCATAGCTACCACCCGAGTGGTATCTCAGTGGCACTGGGTATTCTGGGAGCTGGGCAGAGCCTTGGAGGGGAAAAAATGTCTAACAAAGACAGCTGGTTCCTTTTGTTCTCCAGGGACAGCATGCAGCCAGGGTACCAGTGGCCTCTGTGGAGTATGCAGGCAGCAGGGCCCTGCACCCTGCACCTGCAGAGGCCCAGGCCCAGGGGAACTGTGGTAAGTCCTTGCCACAGGCATGCTTTCCATAGGTAGGGGTCAGGGTGGGGCACACTGCTGCTCTGGACCCTGGGGTCTGAAGAAGCCATCGTCCGGGAGAGCAGGAACAGGAGCAGAAGGCCACAGCTAAGGCAGACGGCTAGAAGGCAGGCCAGTCTGGAGCACTTGTGAAAGATCTCTGGAGATCTCAAGATAGGGTTCCTACAGCAGTGGACAGGGCAGAGCAGCAGAACAACTTCGCCCCTCCCTGAAGAGCTGCAGGCAGCTAATGTTTGCTAGGAGAGGGAGAGACATTTTCTTCAGTGATATAGCCACTTGGTAGAGCGCCCAAGCTCCTACAACCAACCCCTCACTCCTGTAAGCAATCCTAACAAAAGTCATTGTGTCACACACACAAAATGGACATTAAAATGGGAGGGGGACACCAAGATGGTTCAGCTGGTGAAAGAGTCCGCTGTGAATGCCTGATGGCATGAATTCTAGGCCCAGAAGCCATGGTGGAAGGAGAGAACCAATTTCCGAAAGTTGTCCTCTGACCTTTACACGTGCACACACACACTAAGATTTTAAAATAATGAAAACAGGAGGGGACTAGTTGGGCAGAGGAAGGGAATCATCAGGAATGAACGGGGGACATGAAATGGTACTAGGGGTGAATAACAGGCATTATATGCATGTATGAAATATAACGAATCTCTCCAATATGTAATTAGTATAAACTAATCACTCAAAGGGAGACTCTCCCTGTGTTCATCCCTAAAGTGCCTGAAACTTGGTCAGACTTCTTTCATTCCTCTAGCCAAGGACACAGTCAGCTGGGGCTCAGACCTATATCTCCAGTGTGTGCTCCAGAAAGCCCTCTCCAGAGAGGCCTGGCACAGCACATCAGTGTGGAGAGAGCAGCTACAGGACTGAGCATCGAAATCCCAGAATGCTGTACAAGACAGAGCGGCCCGGAGCAAAATGCAGGCCAAGGGCTCCAAGGTAAGCCAGCTCTGCTCTACCGGAAGCTGGAGGCCAGCCACGGGGAGGAGGGGAAAGTGGGCTAAGAGGCCAATGCTGGATTCAGATCCTGGGTCATCTGCTTGCTACAGAAGGTGGGAACCAGGATCCCAAGTGGTCCTCGGGTAGAGTTTAGAGAGGCTGGGAACCCTCCGAGCTATGGGCAAACCATTGCCTTTATCATTTGTCCAGTTTTCAAAGTGGGGTCTGGCCCCCAACATGTTTGGAGCTACTGTGTCAGTCTGTGCTCTTGGGAGAGTCCCTTTTCACTGGGCCTCAGTGTCTTCCATGAATTGTGCTTGGTAGCACTAGCCCAAATGGCATCCTTTCAGTGGCAGCTACTGAGGTATAAAGAATGTTCCCTGAAGTGGGGCAAATGCTCTCTCCACATACAAACCCTTGCTTCACAGCATCAGACTACAGCCAGCCCAGCCCACCTGGTGCAAGTCAGCCATGAGTCTTCTGTCCTTCCTGACAAAACCTTCACATGTCTGTGCATCTTATTCCATATTTCTTGTGAACAAACTACTTTGCCTTTTTTTTTTTTTTTGGTTTTTACAAGATAGGGTTTCTCTGTATTGTTTTGGAGGCAGTCGGTCCAGTCCAGCCTCGAACTCACAGAGATCCGCCTGCCTCTGCCTCCCGAGTGCTGGGATTAAAGGCGTGCGCCACCACTGCCCGGCTACTTTGCCTTTTTTAAAAGGATGTATTGTGCATGTGTTCATGCACATGAAGATACTCACAGAGGCATCAGATCACTGGGAGTTCTAGGCATTGGCGAGCCTCCTAGGTGCTGGGTGGTTGGGGGACTAGTTGGGCAGAAGAAGGGAATGCTAGGATGTAAAGTCTGGTCTTCATGATAGAGCAGCAAGTGTTCTTGATCACTGACCCATCTCCCCAGCCCCAGTGAACCATATTTTTCCCTATGGTGTTCTCTACAAGATCAAGGTGTTACTCAGAACAGGACAGAGTGCAGGAAGTGACTCCCTTAACTGATGCACAGGCAGGTTCTCTGTTTACACAGACACCAGCAACCATTGATAGTAAAGAGCTGGGTGAACTGGGGGTGTCGGGCAGAAGTTGTGGGAAGAGAAAAGACAAGGACCAGTGATGGACAACCTGCTTTCCCGATCTCAGAGATGTAGGAGGTCCCTGGGAAAGTTTACAGGGTCCAGAGGTAGGGCTAGGGAGCTAGACCTAGCACACAGGGCTACCAAAGGACCGAACTGAGACATGTCAGGGACAAACATAGAGGGTGACTGTCTATCCTGGCAGGAAGGTGAGCCTGAACCCTCTTTACACCCTCAAGCACTGAGGGTGGCTACCTGAACTGGTGCTGGCCTGGAAACAAGAGATTGACTTCCCCAATACTAGAGGCTCGATCTAGCATTTGGCCACATGGGGGCAGTAGAGACAACTCTGGCTATCCAACCGAAGCTCTCTAGTCTTGCAAGAAGGGCTGCCCTTGACCCAGGAGAGCCGTCTCCCGGGACTTCACAGTTGCAATTCCTTCACACCAAAAGAAGTGTGCACTAGGAAGCACACCCTCATTCACCATGTCTCTAAACAAGCCTTGTGGCTGCCCCAGAATTCTACCCTCCCCTCTAGATTCCAGGCAGGTTCTCTGTGGCCTGTGTCAGACAGAGGCGGCATACGTGCTGTGGAAAGCACGCTCAGGACAGCAAACGTCACAAATGACTTCATCGGCTCAAGAAAACAAGTGACTACTCACTGGGGAGGTCTTGGGGTGCTTGAATTCTACATGAAAGTGAGTATTTTTATATTGATATTCCAGTTTAGGGCCTAGAGAAGAGCTAGCTGCTCCCTCAGTCCTTCCTCAGCTAACCTGATCCCCTTACCTGTGATGGTGACTGAGCCGTGAGCATCTTGCTGCAACACTGGGTTGCGTACCAGGCAGCTATAGATGCCATTAGCACCCAGCGCCACCCTCAGCACGCTGTGAACATCAAACAAGCCCCGCTCGTTGGCCATCTGGGATGTGGTCACATTGTCAGTCAAGGGCAGTCCCTGCCCATCCTTCCAAAACACCTCAGCCTCGGGATAGCCCTGGTAGCTGGAGCACGTGATGGTCACTATGGCCCCGGGATGCAGGTCTTTGTTGGGCTCCAGGGTCATGCTGGGCTTCGAGTAGGGAGCTGGAGGGTGGCAGAGGGCAGAGATCAATGACAGTCAGCTCAAGAGATACCGTGGAGAAAAGGACACACGGGGCTGTTAGTTAGGAATCAGCTCTGGGGCTTTCTTTGATGGTGGGATCAGCAGTGGGCAGTGGGTGGGCGAGCTGTATGCAGACTGGGTAAGGAGTGGAAAACGCTTCCTCCCAGTAAGTGAGCTGACACCTGCTAAAGTCCCGGATGCTCACAAGGCCGGTGAAGGTGCCCTCATCAGCTACACACCAAGAACACACTGCCCCATGCCAGCAGCTCAGGGAAGCGCTCTGCACTGCTGGGGTACGCCCTGCCCTGATCCTGGCCTTTGAGGAAGCTGCACGCCAGTTATTTGCTCTCTGCCGGTTGCCAGGTTAACTGTGCCAGGCTGGAGCCAGGCTCAGGGGAAAAAGGAACAGCATAGGGTGGCAGCCGGGCCACCATGACATCTTCAGAGACCAGGACATCCATGGGACAAAGCAGTGAGGAAGGACAGAAGGACGGGGTCTCCAGCTGATCCACAGCCTCTTCTACCATCAACACCCAGGCTTTACTCCTCCTGATTCTCTCTAGACAGAGAGTCTCATATTTGATCTTCACAGCAGACCCGCTTTGTCTGACAAAGAGCCATCCATGGGATTCAGACTTGGGGTGATGGGGTTGTCAAGGGCAACCCCTTCCCCGGGAGAGTTCCTTTGGCTCTCCTGTCCTGTGCCTTTCTGCTGACCCAGATGCGTCTCCATCCCTCCTGGAAACTTCTACAGCCTTAGGGTCTGGAGGGTCAAGAAAGCTTTTGATCAGTGACTCCACGCTCCTTGGAGTCCCCTGTCCCAACATTCACCTGTCATTATCAGGTATCTCCATTGTCTGGGAGATTGAAGATAGGGAACTAACATCCTTTAACTTCAAATGCAACTGAACTATAACCTCTCTTTAAGGTGCCATTTAAGACCAAAAAATAAAAACCCATGGGGCTTCTGTGGATTGTCCTGATGACTGAGCTATGTACATCCTACTGCAACACCAGGTTGGATAGCAGGCATCTCTAGGTGCCATTAACACCCTGGGCCACCCTAAGCATGCTGTGCCTATTAAACGAGCCCTGCTCCTTGGCCACCTAAGATGCGGTCCCATAGCCAGTCAAGGGTGATCCCTGCCAGAACACTACAGCATCAGGGCAGCCCTGGGCGCTGGAGCATGTGACCGTCACCTTGTCCCCAGGTTGTTGTTGGGCTCCAGAGTCATGCTGGACTAAGAATGCTGGAGGGTAGCAGAGGGCTGGGGTTGCCAACATCATCAGTGCAGAAGATACAGTGGAAGAAAGGATGCATGAGGCTCGCAGGAGTAGCGTCTGCGGTGAGCAGTGTGTAAGGGGCCGCATGCAGAAGAATGAGGAGTGGACGTGGAGGGCACCCCCTCTCCATGCTCACCTGCCACCTGCAGGCTAACAGCAGCGCTGTCAAAGTCCTGGATGCTCACAAAGCACGTGTAGCTGCCCTCATCGGTCACTCGGACGCGCTGCAGCCGCAAGGACGCATTGCCCTGCACCAACAAGTCAGGGAAGAGTGCTGTGCGGTTGGCATAGGCACTGCCTTGGTCCCGGCCCTCAGTAAAGCTGTGCACCAGCTGTTTGGTGTCTGTCAGCTGCCAGATGAGGTTGAGCTGTGCCAGACTGAAGCCAGGCTCCGGAGAAAAGGAGCAATGTAGGGTGGCGTCAGTGTCCACCAAGGCCACCACGGGGTCTTCAGAGACTTGGACCTCCACAGCTCCTGGGGGTGAGGAGAAGGGGGCATTGCAATTAGGAAAGGTAAGGTTTTCAGGGTCTCTCTCCTTCCCCAGCTATCTCTAGACTTTGCACACTCTCCCTTTCGTGTCTGAGGCCCAAGGTAAGTTCCGTGTCTGTGCTCCTCATTGTGAGCAGCAATGTGTCAACATGAATTATAATTATAATGTAACAGGACCAAGACCCAGGTCACACCCTAGAGCTTATTTACGTCCTAATAGAATAGACAGGCAGTTTGTGATGAACACAGATATTTATCAGCTTGCGATTAGACTTGGGAGGGAACAGGATGTGGAAGTGCCTCACTGTTAGAACGCTTGCCCAGCTTTGGATCCATTCTGTCCCAAAAAGGGAGGGGACAAAACGAGGGAGTACCATAAAAGAAAGAAAGAAAGAAAGAAAGAAAGAAAGAAAGAAAGAAAGAAAGAAAGAACAAAAAAAGCCAGGGGCTCAACACAGAGGCAGCTTCCAAGCCTGCAGGTACTCCCACCTGCCAGGGCATTTGTGTTTTCCCACAAACACATACTATTTGTGTAATTAGGCAGGGGTGCCTACAAAAAGTATATAGACAGAGTTCTTTTTTTTTTTTTTTGCTTTTTTGCTTTTTTTGTTGTTGTTGTTTTCTTGTTTGTTTTTTGAGAGATGCTGGAAGAAACCTGGGGTTTCCCACTTTGAGGGCACAGATTTAAGGAGGATGCCAGCTATTAGATGTGATGTGGGCAGCAAAGGCCGAAGCTCACCCTGGCTTTTCTACAAAGGGAGGCTATATTATAGGAGGGTGAGAGGGAGACTGATGGGGGCCACCTCAGAGGCCCTTGTAAGAAGTGACAGTGATGCAGTGGAGGAAAGGACATGTGAGCGAGTTAGCACCGGAGTCAGCCACAAGGCTTTAATCCCAGCACTCAGGAGGCAGAGGCAGGCGGATCTCTGTAAACCCAAAGCCAGCCTGGACTACATAGTGAGACCCTGCCCCCCCCAAAAAAAAGTGGAGAGTGGCCGTAGAACCAGCCAGATCTGAGATGCAGTCAGAACTATCAATGTTTGCTGAATGATGAAGGGTGAGAAGAAAGGACCCTATGGTGGTTTGAATGAGAATGGCCCCCATAGGCTCACGTGCTTGAATGTTTGGCCTCCAGTCGGTGGAACTGTTTGGGAAGGATTAGGAGGTGTGGCCTTGTTAGAGGAGGTGTGTCACTGGAAGTGGGCTTTGAGGTTTCAAAAGCCCATGCCATCCTTCACTTTGCTCTGTGTTTGTGGATTAAATGTTAGATCTCTGCCATGCCTGTCTTCCTGCTGTCACTTTCCTCACCATGATGGTCATGGACTCAGCCTCTGACACTGTAAGCAAGCCTCCTGGTGAAATGTTTTTTCTTTTATAAGTTGCCTTGGTCATGGTGTCTTGTCACAGCAATAGAAAAGTAACTATAGCAGAATGGAAATCACAAAAGCCCAAGATGCCTCCATCCTGAGGGGAACCCTGAGCTCCCAGAGAAAAGGGCCCTGGGACAGGCTCCTCCGTGCCACCTGTGTCCCTATTCCACGGACTTCCCAGCAACTTCGCTCCCAGGAGCCTCTGTCCGCACTTCGTCTCTCCTTCAGAGGAGTCAGGAAGGATCTGGGGAGTCTGCTGGCCTTGGCCACGGTGAGGTGAGAGGTTCAAAATATGTGAAGCATGGCCTTCAAATGAAACTAGCTGAATACAGTACCCATAGAAGGCTTAGAAAATTGCATTTGCTCTGCGGTTAGTGTTTTATTAGGAATTCCAGATTTCCTTAGTGTGTGATGCGGAGTCTGCATATTTTTCAGTAATCCCATGAAAGCTTAGGCCACTTCTCATTCTTGCCAAATAGACCAAGCTGTCCCTTGCATGGGACATGGAACTTAAGTCACCCAAAGTCCCTTTCTTTCTAAAAAGAAGTGAGAACCAGGCTGGGTGTGGTGGTGGCTCACACCTTTAAACCCAGCACTCAAGAGGCAGAGGCAAGCGGATTTCTGTGAGTTTGAGGCCAGCCTGTCTACATAGTGAGTTCCGGGAGGGCCAGAGATACATAGTGAGACTTTGTTTCAAACAAAAATAACAAAATAAGAAGTCAACCCTGAGGGATAGAAATGGTGTTGCCTCTGATGACCACTAGATGGCACAAGACACTAGGCTTTGTTTTCTCCATGGGCTGAATGGCATTTACTTAACCAAGCACTATATGGGAGGTCCCTTCATTTATTCATCATGGTGATTGAGCATTGACTACATAGCAAGCATCCATTCCACCCCTTAGGATAGACAGATCCTGTCTCCTGAGCAGGGGGACAACATGCAATAAACAAAGGAACCACAGTCAAGGGGAGGTAAATGCTAGGAAGAATGCACTATGTTTTATACAAAGTAGCCAAGGAAGAATGCTGAGGACCTGTCATTTGAGAAAAGGCTTGCACCAAAATAAAGAGTAGAATCATGCCTCTGTCTGAGGGCAGAAAGTTCTTGGCTGAGGAAAACCTATGTACAAGGGTCCTAAAGAGAGTTTACACAGTGTGTTCGGGAATCTGCATCACCATAGTGCACAGGGCTCAAGTCCCATTTCACAGATGAAAAAGTAAAGACTAAGGTGAAGAAGGTTGCCTGTGGATCCCAGAGATGGAAATCAGTATGATTCTTCATGACAGAGTCAGCCTGGAAGGAGCACAGGAAGAAGTAGGCATCCCCACACACCCCTATGACCACAATCCCTCCCCTCACCTGTGAGGCAGAAGTACAGTACTCCCAGGGCTGTGTGCATACACACACTCACACAGGGGCCACCCCGTCCACACGGCATCTTCATGTGAGGCAGCTGACAGCTGGGCTCTCCGTGGCGGATGGCTGCTCCTGCCTGTGGAAGAGGAAGAGAGGCCTTTGTCTCCCAAGTTCCTTCCCAATGCCTCCCTAATTCCTCAGGACCATCCTACTGTAAGAGGGAAGATACCAGGCAACCAGCAAGACAAAGCTGATGAGCTTGGGATCCAGGCTGTGCCCAGGTCACTTTGGCTGATGGGAGAGTAAAAGAACAGGTTTTCGAGAAACTCGGGGTTCAGCTTGAAAAGTATACTCCACTCTAAAAGCAGCCCAGAGCCACTGAGCATTCTGGAATAGAGAAACAACATTGTGAGGCCTATATTGATAGTATCTGCAGAATAAATGAGAAGCCAGCCAAGTGGAGAAGCAGGTGTGAGTAAAAATGACAGCATTTAAGGGTGTAGGAAATGAGGAAGGTAACAGTCGGGTCAGTTGCTTTTGGGCTCAGATCACCAGGACAGGAAATGTGGAACATTTGGTATGGGGTGCGTTAGGTTAGGAGCGTGTGTGAAGAAACCCCACAGGGCAGAGGTCTAGGAGTACCCGGATGTATGGGTGTGGAGTCTGGGAGGGGCATCTGCTAGTTTAATACATGTGTACCAAGCAACCAAGACCCAGAAGAAATGAAAGAGGCCAGGGGCAGAGCTGGTGTCAGTGTCAGACCTGAGCAAGAACTGGATCTATTGCAATAGATCTGGCCAGAGAGGTCCCAGACTTCCCTGGGTTCGGCTTGTACTCTGGCTTCCCCCAGGTGCCTGACGCAGTCAGGCTATATGCACCACTTCTTCTGTCCCTCACTGTTGCCTGCTCAAGCCATGTGACCCATGTCCATCTGTCCCACCTAACAATAATTAGCAAGAATACACACATTTCATACCCTCCTGGTCATCCCCAGCAATAGATTGCTTGTCTTGCTTGCATTTTTGCTAGAGAAACAAACAAATAAATACATAAACAAATGCAAACAATTGAGTTTCTTAATGTCACATCATCTGTCACTGAGCAGAGATGAAAAGAGCCCACCCTGCAGCAATCCCTTTCCACCCTTCATAGAGCAAATCCTACCTACAGCCGAGCATCTAATCCAGCCTCAGGAACCCGGGGACAGCCCTTCCATCCTATCACATACCCATTCTCCCATTTCCCATGCCAGGAAGCTGCACAGAGGGAATCCCTCAGCCAAACCCAGCATCCTGAATAGCCAACCCCTTCCTTGGCTATCCACAGTCCACCACAGAGAAGCCCTGGGCAGCCTCTTCCTGTCCAGATGCTTCCGGTCCAAAGTCTGGTGGCCTCAAAGCCTCCCTGTCAGCAGCTCTGATTCATAGCGGCATCCTTGGGGATACCACTTCCTGCCACCGTAAGCCTCCAGGAAAACCTAGCAGGCAGCTGCCTGGACTACTGGCTATGTGCCACAGGAAGCTAAAACCTACAGAGTTGCCAGTTTCTAAGTCTTGTGTCCTCTTTTATCCCCTAGACAGATGCAGAGCCTGGGAACTGGGATGTGGCTTAGTTGGTTGAGGGCTTATCTGGCAGGCAGAATGACCTAGAAGCTCTGGGTTCAACCTCCAGGCCCTCATAAGTCAGGTGTGGTGGTACATGCCTGTAATCTTAGAACTCTGAAGTGGGGGCAGGAAGATCAGGAGTTCAGGGTCATCCTTAGCTACAGAGTGAGTGCAAAGCCAGCCTGGGCAACAAGACACCCTATCTTAAAGCAAATGAACCCTGAGTCTGACAGGGCTTCTCGGGTCCCACTAAGCCCTCTCACTGCTGTTTGTGCCTGCCATCCAGGGCCACCTGGGCCCTCTTCAGTGACCCCATAAGTCCCACTTTTCACCCCCTACCAAACTCATTCTCTCGGGTGCCTTCTGAGACCTAAGACAAGAATCAGGCTCATACCCTGCCCCTGTTCCCCCCAAAAAATCTCCCCTGGCTCCCCAGTAGTTACAAGAGAAGACCTGAATTCCTCTACCTGATGCCCAAGGCTCTCTCTAGGATGTCTTCCCATGCTTCAAGCTATACCCTGTTACTGAGGTTTACCCACCCCAGGATCACTTGTGGATGTCTGCTGAAGGTGTGGGAATGCAAGAGTTCTCTCCTGATCAGACTAATTATGTTTCCCCAGAACAAAGCTGTCCCTCACTCCAGAGGGTCCATGAGAGGCTTCCAGAGTGAACATTAAGCTTGCTCCCTTTGATTCCTTTTCTCCATTCTGGACCCATGAAGTCCACCATTGTAATTTCAGCCTAGAAACTCCATGGAGCCCTTCCAAGAAAAAGTGCTGAGTGCCTCCGGGAGAAACACTGTAAGTAAGGGCCAGCCATCCTCACCTTGAAGCTACTGCAAGCTTATCCAAAAACACAGCAGAAGTAGGACCCAAAGACACTCTCAAGACATCACCCAAGACTCATTACCACATACATTCAGAACAGCAAACCTGACTGCCAATGGGCTCTGGGCCACCATAACCACTGGCATCACTCCAGGCTTTTTAAAATTTTTTTTATTATTATTTAAAAAAAGAGTTGGAGCTGGGCGTTGGTGGCTCACGCCTTTAATCCCAGCACTCGGGAAGCAGAGGCAGGCGGATCTCTGTGAGTTCGAGGCCATCCTGGTCTACAAAGCGAGTTCCAGGAAAGCCTCCAAAACAATACAGAGAAACCCTGCCTCGAAAAACCAAAAAAATAAAAAATAAAAAAAATAAAAAAAAAAAGAGTTGGATCCCCTGAAATTGACGGTTGTCAGCCATCATGTGGGTGCTAGAAACTGAACTCAGGTCCTCTGCAAGAGCAGCCAGTGCCCTTAACTGCAGAACCATCTCTCCAGCCTGACTGGTTTTGGAGTATGTGTAGCAAGCTGCATGTGGGTTTGTACACGTGTGGGTGCGTGCACACGTGAGTGCCGGTGCCCACAAAGTCTAGAAGAGGATGTCAGATCCCCTGAAGTGGGAGTTACAGACAGCTGTGAGCCACCATGTGAGGGCTGGGAACCGAACTCGGTTATCTGCGGGAGTAATACATGCTCTTAACCACAGAACCATCTCTCTAGCCCCACCCCAAGGCCTGCCAAACACTCCCCAACCTCCCATAGAAAGGACAAAAGTGAGAGTCATAGAACTCTAAAAATATAAGCAAAGTTTCTGGATCCAGATATCCCTGAAGCGAGCTGCAGTCCTAGGTGGGCCGGTCTTTCTCCCCTACGTCTAGTTCCAGCTAAGTGTATGTCATGTGCAACTGACTGAGTCCTCGCATACAGCAGGTTCATCTGTGTCCTGGACAACTCCTTTAGTCATGCATGGACTACCTGCTGGGGAGGCCAAGGGGACAAAGGCGACTCACTCATCTGTGTGGTGTGTGCTCTCAAGTAGCAGACCCCGGTACAGGAGGATGCGCCTTTCAGTGGAGCCCACTTTACCACGGAGGGCTGCTCGGTGGCACTTGAGAGCTATCACAGCCTCCAAGTGTGTCCTGAGGGCCTGGAGCAGCTCTCAGGTAAGGCTGGGAAAGGTGAGACCCATCTTAGCCCCCATCTCCTTGATATGGCAGCAAATGAAGACCAAGTAAGGCCTCGAAAGCGAAAGCGGGAGGAACCAAGTTTGACCATCAGAATCCCCCCAGGGCGGGGGAGGGGAGTACCAGACATGGTGAGGCGTGCTTCTAATCCCAGGGCTAGGGAGATGAGGACAGGGAGATCCCTAGGCTCACTGGTGAACCAACCCATCCTACTTGGTGAGTTGTGGGCCAGTGAGAGAGCCTGTCTCAAAACAAAAACAAACAACAAAGGAAAACCATGGTGGATGACAATTGAGGAACGGCAGCCAAGGCTGTCCTCTGGCTCCCACAGCTAGTAACCACACAGCATACAAACCTGCACACGCACATATACACAACGGCAGAAAATGAGCCCAACGTTTGGGGTTCTGATCCTAGCTCTGACCCTTCACTGTATAGTCTTAATGAGGTCTCCCACCATGGAGGTTTGAGTGAAGATGGCTCCCATAGACTCACATATTAGAATACGTGGTCTCCAGTTGGTAGCTGTTTGGAAAGGCTTAAGAGGTGTGCCCTCCATGGGGGTTACGGCTCAGTGGGTAAGAGCTCTTCCAAAGGATCCGGGTTCAATTCCCAGCACCCACATGGCAGCTCACGACTGTCTGTAACTCCTGTTTCAGGGCTCCGACACCCTCACACAGTCATACATGCAGGCAAACACACACACACACACACACACACACACACACACACACACACACACACACACACACGAGGTGTGGCCATGTTGGAGGAGGGGTTTTACCAGGGGCAGGCTTGAGGCTTCAAAAGATTGGCACCATTCCTAGTGTGCTCTCTTCTGCCTGCTTGTAGCTCAAGATGAGAGCTCTCGGCTGTTCCTGCCACCGTACCCTCACTCTGCTATCATGAGCCCAAGTAAGCCCATCCATCCTTCCTTCCTTCCTTCCTTCCTTCCTTCCTTCCCTCCTTCCTTCCTTCCTTCCCTCCCTCCTTCCTTCCCTCCCTCCTTCCTTCCCTCCCTCCTTCCTTCCTTCCTGTCCTTCCCTCCCTCCCTCCCTCATTTATTTATTTATTTATTTATTTATTTATTTTTTTCGAGACAGGGTTTCTCTGTGTAAACCGCCCTGGCTATCCTGGGACTCACTCTGAGGACCAGACTGGTCTCGAACTCACAGAGATCCACCTGCCTCTGCTTCCCGAGTGCTGGGATCAAAGGACTGCGCCACCGCACCCAGCTTGTAAGCCCCTCCTATTTGTGTAGGTTTCTTTGGTCATGTGTTTTATCACAATAGAAAAACAATGACTCCACTCACCTTTCTTTTTTAAAAAATTACAGGGCTGGAGAGAAGGCTCAGCGATTAAAAGCACTTGCTTCTCTTGCAGAGGACCCAGGTTCAGTTCCCAGCACCCACATGGTGAGTCACAACCATCCATAATTCCAGTTCCAGGAGATCTGACCTCCTCTTTTGACCACCTCTGGCACGTCACTCTCTGACGTTCAATATTTCTAAAAGAAAAACTTTGC